ATGATTCTAGACTCATTCGAGGATGAATGTTTGTTTAAGAGAGGGAGAATGTAATGACCTGACCGATCATTTGAGTATTTTAGTTGTGTTTCCCCTGTTTGATGCTTTACATATGTGTATTTCTTGATACATGACTTGTTGGGGTTGTTGGCTTGGTTTCGAGAGAGTTTTGGATTGAATTGGGACACTTAGTCTCTTGGTTGGAGGCTTAAGTTGTAAGAGTTTTTCTGAGTTTGACTTTTATATGGATGACCCCGAAATGATTTTTTGAGGGTTCGAAAAGGTTTGTGTGGTGATTTTGGAATTAGGTGTATGTCCAGATTTTGATTTCGAGGTTCCTAGGTTGATTTGGTCCTATTTGGCAAAAGTTGAAAACTTGAAGGTTTAGAAGATTGATAGGTTTGACCAGGAGCCGACTTTGATGATATCGGGTTTAGATTTCAGTTCTGGGAGTTGGGATAGGTCCATTGTGTCAGTCCGGACTTGTCTGCAAAATTTGAGGTCATTCCGAGTTGATTTGACGTGGTTTGACATGAGTTTTACAAGTTGAAGGTTCATTAGCTCCTTAGGCTTTAATTGAGGTGCAAATTGTGGTTTTGATGTTGTTTATGTGATTTAAGACCTCAAGTAGGTCCGTATTATATTTTAGGATTGGTTGGTGTGTTATGACGGGGTCCCGAGGGGCTTGGGTGGGTTTTGGATCACACGAAAGGTGGTTGAACTTGGTTGAAGGTTGGCAGGTCTGGTGCAATCGCACCCTTGGAGAAGGGTTCGCAGATGCGGCGCATCTGCAAAATTATTTGGCACAGATGCGAAGGAGGTCGTTGGGAGTTGTGACCAAAGATGCGGCAATTGGGCCCCAGAATAAAAGTCATGTGTGCGGCTGGGTGTCCGCAGAAGCAAAATGTAGGCTTCTCTCTGTAGAAGCGGAGTTTCAGATGCGGTCAAGTGTCTACAAATGCAAAAATGATGGACAGATTTATATTTCGACGGGTTTTGTTTCTCTCTCATTTTTGGAGTTGTGGAAGTTGATTAGAGGCGATTTTTGGAGGGAATTTCATCACAATTGAAGGGATAATTAATCCTTACTATATTTTGGTATTAAATATTGATTATCCATAGATTATTACACCCAAATTACGTGAATTAAAGGTGTGATTGGAGGTTTTTTATATTTGTACCATTTCTGTGAGCTATTTGAACCATGTTTGAGGTTACATAGAGGTTAATCTCGTGATTGAACCTAATGATTGCTACTTTCGTGATGAAATTGCCCGATTTAAGCTATTATAGCACACTTTACACATGTATACACTTTAGCATGTCACTTATACCAGTCCAGGAGTATGAAATTGATATGCATTGATCATGTATATGTGATCTTGTAAATCTGCCTTCTATGTGTATGGCTTGGACTAGTAGCACGTGAGTTGTCCGTGCGGTTGTATATTGGCACGTGAGTTATCCGTGAAGTTGATATATAATAGCATGTGTGTTGTCCGTGTGGATCTGAGATATTATTACTATTGGCAAGTGAGTTGTCCATGCGGATATGAGATATTATTACTATTGGCACGTAAGTTGTCCCTGCGGATTCGAGATATTGCTATTATTGGAATGTGAGTTATCCGTGTGGTTGATATTATTGACACATGAGTTATCCGTATAGCACGCGAGTTGTCTGTGTTGTATGTGGATAAGGATCTATCCTGTAGGGTGACCCTCATATGTTTCTCTCTTGATGGTTTGCACGTTTTATGAGGAAAGACTGGCTAGTGTTTGATTCGGTTATTGTATTTCTTCTTTACTTGTAATTTTCTTGGTTGTTTATCAGTTGTATTTGCATATCTTATTTATATGATGGATTGTTTACTGAGCAGAGTATGTTAAGTGATTGTGTGCACCAAGGTGGTTTTATCTGTGGTTCCTGACTTAATCATATTATTTTTCTGTACTTGCTAGTTTATGAATTATATAGGTGAATAGCGAGTATCATTAACAATTCTTGCTTTTATTACCTCACCGAGGATAGTTATGATACTTTCTGAGAATATGAGGTCGATTGTGGTCATACTACATTCTACACTTAATTGAGCAAATCTAGGTGTTGGACCGAGTTGTGGGTAGTTGTGAGGTGTTGTTGTGAGCATGTTGGAGAGACGGGTAGAACTACATGTCGACCGCAGTATTGTCATCTCTTTTCTCCTTTTTAGTATTGTTATTTTCATTAAGATAGTATTTTTATACGTATCCCGGACTTGTACTTTTGTTTAGAGCTCATGACACAGTATTACTAGTTCTGGCAGGTTATTGTATTTCGATGCTGTTATTTATGTTTTTGGCTTTAGACGTGTACTAATTATATTATTTTTGTTATTATGATCCGTCGTTGTTATGCTCGGCTTGCCTAACAAGTGCATTAGGCGCCATGATGACCATTTTTTGGGTTTGGATCATGACAGGTATATATCTTCTCTATATGTTAAATTCGTGTAACTTTACTTTTTTACTCATGCATATCTTCTCTATATGTTAAATTCGTGTAACTTTACTTTTTTACTCATGCATATCTTCTCTATATGCAACTATCGACGGTTATTTCACATTTTATACATATCTTCTCTATATGAAACTATTGGCGGTTATTTGATATTTCATGCATATCTTCTCTATATACCGCTTTGATTGAAGAACTGATTTATCGTACATATCTTCTCTATATACCGCTTTGATTGAAGAACTGATTTATCGTACATATCTTCTCTATAAGTCAACCTATGTAACATAGCTTGCTCATTTGTGCATATTATTTATATACTATTGATCATTTTTTTATTCTTGTTGCATATCTTCTCTATATGCTGAACTGCTAGTTTATTTACGATGCTTGTGCATATCTTTGCTATATGTACCGATGGCCTTACCTGTATTCAATGCTTAAACTTTAATTTTGTTGTTGTGTACAAGTATATGTTATTGAGATGTAAAGGTTAAGTAATGTGAGTATCTTTTTACTTGAAACCTCGTCACTACTTCACCTAGGTTAGTCTTGATACTTACTGAGTATATGGAATCAACTGTACTCATACTAGACTGCTGCACCTTGCGTGCGGATTTTGGAGCTGAGGATGTACCAGCGTTCCAAATGTAAACTACCACTTGTTCATGATAGATTAAAAATTTTACTTCTGATTGTGTATATTAAAACATATATTATACTTTCTTCGTACCAACATTGTAAATCTAGATCTTGTGGCTAGTGACTTGTCATACCAGTCCTTGAGATAATTGTATGGATTTTCACCTTCTTATTTTTGGTTTATTGATAATCTTTCATTCGAGTTGTATTATTTATTAATGGGATTACCTAGCATGTTGGGGTTAGGTAACATCACGACTAGGTGGGATTTTGGGTAGTGGCAACTCAGATTTGTTTTTACTTCTTATATATTTATATTTTTTGTTGTTTAATTTTTTAGAATTTAATTTTCGAATACAAAATGAATGCAACTTGAATGTTGAAAAACTAATTCAAAGTTGTAGTAGGAAACCTAAGTTATTTAAGATTTTATATTTGCCATTTTATTTAATCCATGTCTAAATAGGATTTGTAGTCAGAATTACTATGGGAATATGCTTTCATGTTTCTAGTTAAAATATGTTTCGTATTACTATAAATAGGGGTATTAGTAGATTACTTTATGTGTGGAGATATGTGGAGAATTATGAGAAGAATTATAGAGAGCTTTAAAAGATTTAATACAGTAATTTTCCATCATATTGGTATCAGAGCTTGTAAGATCTTGGGAGAGAATCAAATAGTTTCCGCTGCCAGCGGGCGGCACTAGCCAATGTGTGCTGCCCGTCTGGCCATTGAGTATGTTGGCAAACGGCAGGTCAATAATATATGCGTGGAAAACAATAATGTTTGAGATGGGATGAGGGATTGAGCAAAAAGAATGCAAACTTAAAGAGGTGAAGCAAATATAGCACAAGAGGAAGAGGCTCTTCTCTAAAAAGTAGAGAAGCGGTCAAGAAAAAAAATAATTTGGGAGTTGGAGACAGGTGTATCAGCAATTGGGTATTGGTGACAAAGTGCATCAACAGGAGGTGAAGGCAATTACTTCAAAAAAGTTGGGTGTTGGTGATAAAGTGGATCCACGGGTGATGGAGACAAGTGCTTCAGAGAAATTAGGTGTTGGTGACATAGTGCATCAATGGGAGTTGTAGACAGGTGCTTCAACAAATCGAGTGTCGGTGACAAAGGCCATCAACGGTAGTTGAAGACATGTGCTTCAACAAAATTGTGTTTTGAAGACAAAGTGCATCAACAGGAGTTGAAGACATGTGTTTCAACAAAATTAGGTATTGATGACAAAGTGAATCAACGGGAGTTGAAGACAAGCGCTTCAACAAAACTGGTTGTTGGTGACAGAGTGCACTAAGGGGAGTTGAAGATAAGTGCTTCAACAAAATTGAGTGTTGGTGACAAAGTGCATCAATAGATGTTGAAGACAGGTACTTCAACAAAATTGGTTGTTGGTGGCAAAGTACATCAATAAGGGTTGCAGACACATGTTCAATATAACTAGAAGATTGGAGAGAAGTGCTCCAATGCAATAAAAGTCATATACAACTTTGAATTACGAGAGAATGTTGGAAAACTAATTCAGAGTTGTAGTAGGAAACCAATTTTTTTTTAGGATTTGATATTTGCTAGTTTATTTCATTCATGTCTAAATATGATTGTAGTCAAAACTAATATAAGAATATGCTTTCCTGTTTCTAGTTGAAATAGGTTTCATACTATTATAAATAGGGGTATTAGTAGCTTATTTTATGTGTGGACAATTGTGAGAAGAATAGTAGAGAGCTTTCGAAGATTTAATACAATAATTTTCCTTCATTGAACTTTTTATTCATTTTCTCAGACTAAAAAAATAATCGAGCATTTGCTTTGTGAATATGCTATATATTTTAAAATTCTAATATCCCTAACTTCATGAATCAAGAGACGATTTTAAACAACTTGGAGGCAACTCCATGCCGGTGGCAGTCCCGTGGGCATTATCACACGACGAGACAGCGGGTCCACCAGCTCCATTGTATACCAAATTGATTTCACTAAGGTTGATTCCCTGGCAAGGAAATGAAGCACTGCAATTCAAAGTAACAGCTGCCATTGAACTTGAAGTTCCTCTTATGTTATTGAATGTCACGTCTTTGATTTGCACTGAGCTCGCCTACGAAACAAAGGAGAGTGTTGCCATCGTGTGATATAAATAATATACAACTGAACATTTTCGTTTTTGATATGACGTAAGATATTATGTAGAAAAATATTTTTCATGAGATAGTCTTTTTTTCTTTTTGTGTGTTTGGAATACTAAAAATATGTTTTTGATCCAAGAAAACATTTTTCATCAAAAGGGAGAAAAGGATTTCCGTCACTTGTGGGCGGAAGTAATTCTTTTTATAACTATTTAAACTTTAAGTTATAATATTTGCTCTAGATACTTAGATATTATTATTAAACTTTTGTACTCAAGAATTTCATTAAAATATTTTTTGATTTGCTAATATATTATTAATTTTAATATATAAATATTTTGGATAATGCTTCGTGCTTATCAACAAAAGACATGTAAATATTATTCCGGAAAATAATTTCTGTCAAACCATTTTTAATTGAACATGACTTTCGACATACCAAACATGTTAAATTTAAAGATGGAGAAAAGGACAATGCAAGTACCTGACTGCTGCAAGGAGGCGATGAACAATAATGCTGATCAATAATGATAGGATTTCTAACATTATCCATGAAAATATCCTCAAAATTTATACTTGTGGCACTACCAGACTCCGATGGTGCCCAAGTCTTAATCCTGGCGCCATTTTGAGTAGCAATGAGAGTGCAATTTTTGACGTGTACGTCTGTGACGACTTCATTTTGTATTTTCCCTAAGCTTCCGATGCTTATTCCATGGCCAGGGCCACAAGTTATTCCTGAAATGTTGATGCTTTGGCTGCCATTGATCATAGATATACAATCGTCTCCGGTGCCAATGTTGGAATCCAAAACTTGAATGTTGGTGGAGACGCTCATGTGAATGCCGTCGGTGTTAGGGCTGTCGCCTGTGCGGTTAGGTTAACATGACTAAATGTCACGTTATTGCACATAAAGACGCCATAATGGAAACTCTTGCTATTGATTGAGTGTATGTTGTGCACCGCCGCATTTTTGATAGAATCTAATTTCAGTGTCTGGCTCAAGTTTTAAAAAATAAGGCATAGAAAGACAATATTAAGTTTTTAATAACTTTACATTATAATCACAACAAGAAGTATTCAGTAACCACGTAAATGGTGAAAGATATTTTGTATTGTCACTAATTTTTGAATAGCTATACTTCTATGATTGAGTAATATCGTAAATGCACTTTTACGGCAAAACTGAATTTAGTCAAATTAACGATATGATAAATATACAAATAAGTTTATTAAAAATAAAAATATATCAGAATAAATTAGACAAGAATGACAAATAACATAAAATTTATACAAAATTAAACTTACGATAGGAAGGGCTGGGCAGTTAGAATTCTTGGAAGTATCAAAATAAGGCCAAGCTGAAGCCCCTTGTCCATCTAAAGTTCCGCCTCCTTCAATCTCTAAGCCATTCACATATTGAAAGGAAATCCAAGTCGAATTGCAGAATAGAGAAGGATCTGTTGGAGCTTTAACAACCCCTTGGATTTGGAAGGTTATGGATCCACTGCATGGTCCAATAAAATTTGCAGCATATACCAAGTATTCCCCTGAAGGTATCAAGAATTTGGCTGTTCCACTCCATTGGCATGCATCCTTCCAAGTACTCAAGAATGCCTTCCAAAATAAACCAATAAATAAAAGACAGGGACTTAATTAGATAATTTAGACACTGAATTTTCATATATACAATGGCAATTATATGTAGTCNTTAAACTTACGATAGGAAGGGCTGGGCAGTTAGAATTCTTGGAAGTATCAAAATAAGGCCAAGCTGAAGCCCCTTGTCCATCTAAAGTTCCGCCTCCTTCAATCTCTAAGCCATTCACATATTGAAAGGAAATCCAAGTCGAATTGCAGAATAGAGAAGGATCTGTTGGAGCTTTAACAACCCCTTGGATTTGGAAGGTTATGGATCCACTGCATGGTCCAATAAAATTTGCAGCATATACCAAGTATTCCCCTGAAGGTATCAAGAATTTGGCTGTTCCACTCCATTGGCATGCATCCTTCCAAGTACTCAAGAATGCCTTCCAAAATAAACCAATAAATAAAAGACAGGGACTTAATTAGATAATTTAGACACTGAATTTTCATATATACAATGACAATTATATGTAGTCATGTTGGCTAAAAGGGTAATGTTAGACATGTAATAATGACTTTTGAATAACTATATCATCTTTTTCTTTTCTTATTTTTAGGACATGTATACCGATTTCAGGCTTTTCACTTTGCTCCCTTGATGACTCGTACCCAGTCTCACGGTTGGAAGTGGAGGGTGCTTACTATTTAAGCAACTTTTTCTTGTCTTATACCTCATGTTTCAGTATGTAACACATACATTCCATATGATTTTAGATATGAAGTAAAACTCCTCTGTAAAGTTTTGAGCAACAAAACACAATACTTAACTCTTCAAGTGGTAAATTCACCTCTTAATTAAGCTTTAATTCTATTGTTTTTTGTGTAATAAAATATAACCGCACATTCTATTGAAATAATGATCTAATCCTACTATTTGCGCACTTATAAACATAAAAAATTCATATGAAACATAAGCTGACATTACACATAAGGAAAAACTTGTCAATTTGGGAATTATAATATATTTTTTATACCAAATATGAAAGGAAGTGTGCTAAGATATAGTTTTACTCGTGTGACGGTATGAGTTTGTCAATATTGTTTCTTCCGTCTAGAAGTTGTGCAAGAATTAATACGATAGGCACATTTTAATTTAAAATGGCTGGTTCTCACCTTACTATTATCTGTGTTTGCATCTGCTTTAGCACCGTAGGATTGGACATTGAAGAGCTTATCTTCTGCACGACTGCACCCAAGAATAAGGCCTAATACAAAAGCTATTCCGAAGCTACAAATTGAAGCCATTTATTTATTTGGTTTCCTTTTTACTTTCTCCATCACTTGCCTTTATATACACCTTCAATTTCCCTCATGCTTTCAAATAATTATTCATTCATTAATTTATTACCATAGTAGTCTTGCATTTAGAAGAATATGATAAGAAAAATTGGTTTCTGTTACATCTAAGATATTCCTTAAGATATAGTGGATTAATAAGCAAGGAAAGTGAATAGATATTCTGAATGAATATCATGGTAAGTTTATTAAACCGCCAGCTAGACTTATGAGATACATTTAGGTTATTCCTTTACAAGAAGCTGTTCTAGTAACCGGAAAAGAACATAGTTAAAGACAAGTGAGAAGTGAAAGCTTTACTTTATTTTTAAATCAACTCAATGCCAAGATTCATCCAAAGCAAAATATCACATCAACAATATTGCTGGAGAGACTTCCGTTTTAAAAAATAAAATAAAAAGAGTTATCATCCTTTCTTAGTGAAATTACAAAATATATTTTCTTTTGTTCAAAACATGTTGCAGAACAATTTAGAAAGCGATTGATATTGATCGGTAATTTAAAAGGCATTTTTTGAGCGACCCCTGGAGCGAGGCATACCAAAACATGCACTGAGGTGTAATGGCGGGGCGTGAGTATGGTGGGACAAAAGCTTAAACATCCAAAGTAATTCGCTAAATTTTCAAACTAAAAATCTCAAATCAAGGGTTTTTCTTATTTATCCCAATTTCTTAATCTTTACTCTTTATTATTTACTATCGAGAAATCAATACACTTTAGACCTTTATCTAAAAAGTGCAAACTACAATGTAAAAAGGAGTTTTCTCTCCATGCTGGTTCCACCCTTGCATTTCCTTATTAATGCTTCATTTTCCTCAAAAATAAAAAACTTTTGTATTCTTTAATTTATTATTTCAAGTTAGTTTTTAAATTCAGGATTTCTTTCGGTGTCGCTCTAGTTTATATATTATTTTGATGACACTGGTGTAATACATCTTATATCTTTTATTATAACGACACGGTGAGTTATTTTGTGTATTTGAGCCCCGCTCCCCAACTTAATATTTTTCGTATGTGTGTTTGTGATTTTTTAACTTGCAGGGGTGGTTACCGTTTCTGTAAACAACCTCAGACTGATGTTTTGATTGTTCCAATAGGTTCGTATGGTGATTTTGAACTTAGTCTAGAATTGAATTTGGAGATCCCTACAATATTTTGGCTCTATTTTTCGAAAATTTGCAATTTGTAGGTGTGGATTATTCATACGTTTGGCAGGGTGTGGATTATTCAAGAGTAAGAATTTTGGGATTTTTGCTCATTCTCTCATATTTCGAACCCTAGACTTAGAGAGGGGTGATTTGCGAATGAGACTTTCATACAAGATTTTGGGGTAAGTAATTTCTACTAACTTTTTGTATTATTTTAATAATCTACATGCATTACTAACACAAAAAATATGAAATTTTTGTCACGCCTTGACCTCGGGGAGCGCGATTGGTACTCAACCGAAATAACCTCGCCGAGCAAGCCTGCTAGAATGCCTTCTACCCATTTTACCCATAAATAAAGAGAAGATAAACTTCATTAATTAACACCAAAAGGGTTCATTAACAACACTAATTCCAACATTATTAGTTACTTCATTTATAAAGACTCAAAATACATACACTTTCATAGTTTGATGTGGAACATGTAATATACATATGACATTGCTATCTTGACTTTCACAATACCAATACACAACCCACAACATATTTACGAAGCCTCTAATAGATGCAAAAGAGTACAAGGATAGTGTCGGCAACAAGGCCCCGCCTATACCTCAAAATATAATACACGCAGAACAAAAGATGAACAACTCCGAAATAAAGTGGAGCTCACCGAGTCAACTGTGAGGAGAGTGTACCACTATCACTGGTCAATGCTCTCCGTTGTGGAACCACCGTCATCCATTAGAGATGCAGCGCCCCCGGAAACAGGGACGTTAGTACATGTGAAATAGTACTAGTATGAAAACCAAACACCTATACAAGAACTTGGAAATACAACATGAATATGATGAATCATGGTAACAAAAAAAGGCTTAGATAGTCGTTAAGGTCATAGAAAATTGTTAAGAGCTTTCAATAACATTAATAAATGTTTAAGTCGGGGATCCTCTACAATTACCTTTACAGAAAGTGGACTTGCCGCCTCACCCCAATGTCTGTGGGTGGAGGTGCAATGACAATACTAGAAACTCTACACAAAGTGACCTTTCTGTCTCACCCCAATGTATGCGGGTGAAGGTGTATTCATAATACCACAACTCTACATAAAGCGGCCTCGCCGCCTCACCCCAATGTATGTGGGTGAAAGTGTATTCATAATACCTCAATTCTACACAAAGCGGCCCTGCCGCCTCACCCGAATGTATGTGGTTGGAGGTCTATTCATAATGCCCCACTTCGCATTCCCAAAACGATAATAGTTTTTACAAAGAGTTCCCTTTCAAATCAACCATTTGACACCTTTGGCATTAGCGAGTGTAAGTTCATAAGGTTTAATCATATAAAAATAAGTGCTTAATCACATCGATTTCATACAATATCTTCTTCCCAAAAGTGGTATAATATAATTAAGTCAAAAATATAGAATAATTAACACCCGAGGGTTCTAACACGCTATGCCAATCGGAAATTAATTTTACTAGTTGAACACCCCACACTAATAGTATTCCTTGTTCGAACTTCACATGATGGAGTTTTGTAAGAATATGGAAATTCCAATACCAGATAAAGAGTTTAGCCTTCATACCTCGCTTTGAGCTTTCCTTAATTCACTACGCAGTTCCGAAGATCCTAGCAACTTCGATCTATTTAGATACATAGCAAAATTGAACACAAATTAGGAACATATTCATGCATTCAACTTATTTGAGCGTTTTATGAAACACTAGGTGTGCAAATTTGATTACAAGGTTCTTCCACCAGATTTCCTTCACTCCAAAACTAATTCAATAGCAAGAGTTTACTCATACTAGTTCAATTACCTCCCTACCATCCCCATAGCTACATGTATGCATAAATAACAACTCTCATACCCAAGAATCATATTCCCAATTACCCCTCTTCTACCCAAACTAGAAATTGAAGACTAGGGTAAGAACCTTACCTCTTGGATAAAATCTTGTGATATTTCTTGTTGAATTTCAAAGCTTAGACATGATATTGATGAACAAAGCACTTGGGCTTACTTCTCTCTCTATAGAACACTCTCTTCTTCTCTCTAAAATGTCAGATTTTTGCCTTCAAAGCGAGCCCCAAGGGCTTTTAATCAAAATAGGGTTGGGTCAAAAATTACAAAAAATGAAGCCCTGATGTAGATCTACGGTCGCATATGTGACCGCATAATGGCCCTCTAGAACTGGGCACTTCTGCCTCACTCTGTGACCAGTCTACGGTCCACAGACTTATTTTACGGTCGCATAATGCGCCGTAGAACTTTCCTCCGGAAAGTTTTGTTCTGGGTCTGCAATAGGTTATGCGGCTGCATAATGGACCGCATAATGGTCCAAAAGTTTGCCCAAGTTTCTGCCTAAGTTTGCGGCAGTTCTGCTGTCCGCAGATCAGTTCTGCGACCGCATAATAGACCGCATAAATGCCCTGCACTACCAAAACTTTTCTTCAACTCCCCAACGCAGTGTTCAACCCAAAAAGTTCGAACCGCAGTGAGCAAACTTGCCGCAAAGAATTTCTACAATCATCAATGCATAAGTCTACCTCGGTATCACGAAACCCCGGGTTTTAGGAGAAATATTTACGGTGCCTTAGAATTTTGAGGGAAAATTATG